AGAGAGAGAGAGAGAGAGAGAGAGAGAGAGAGAGACGGAGGTTGATAGGAAGGCTGTGAGAGAGAGAGGATGACGATCCTACTGTTGGTTTATTGAACATTCGGACGTTTTGATTGGTTTAATTAGCTCTTATTTTAGATATTTATTTACATATAGTATAGATTGTATACAAATTGTTCATAATTTGTCTCAGATTTTTTTTTAATTCTTCTTTCATCGTCATCAAAATGTTTGTTTGAAGTTCTTTTTTGACGTGCAAATTCTGAAAAAACTTGTGTCCAAAAGCTTGTTTTGAATGTATGAAAATATATTTTCTTACAAACCATCTTTTACATGTTTTTGTTCTTTAAAACAACTTGAAGTAACATTTTCGTCAGCGAATTCTCATTATTTTTCTTGTGTGATTCAACTTCTTTACCTCTAGAAGGGTGAAAGTAGAATATCTGCCTGTTGATCATACTCCCTTCTCCTCTCATATTAACTGTCTTCTTGGACTGATGTCCTTTTTGAGATCTATTACTGCTTCAGAGAAACTCTTTTAATTTTAAAAACTCTTCTTGTCGTACAGAATGTTGTGAATAGTTGGCCAAATCTTATTTTTCTTAAAAGCTTTGATTCAATTTCTTAATGAAATAAACGTTTTTGTTTTTCATTTTCAAGAATTTACTCATTAGATGAATATTCCTCACCACATTCCTCCCATAAATTCAATGTAATTCTCGGTGTTTTGCTTTCTGAATCCACTGAATGGTAATTTTGATTCGTCTTTTATCATTCTCTATACATAGAAAGTTATATCATCATTGATTCATGAAAACAAATAAAAGAGGGAGAGAGAGAGAGAGAGAAAAGAAAGAAACAGAGATTCATACGACTTCTGATGTCAGAAGCAGTTTGCTGTCGTCTGGCCAGAAACAGACACACCGACCACGACGGTTCTGCTATCGTTGAAACAGTTCCTGTCGCTGCCAGGATTCCTTCTAGGGTTCTCACAGCCTCAGGGCTTCTTCCTTTCTAATTGTCCATGACCTTTAAGGAAACATTCTACTTCCTCTAGATTTAATTTAATTCTCATTTCAAGTTTTGTAGAACAGAAAAACAGATGATCAAATCTGGACCAAAGTTTCAAGTCAAAGTTGTTTCATGAGATGATCCTTAGCATGGTTCCACCTGATCTGCTCACAGCTTTCATTCTTCAACTATTTTATCCATTCAAGTACAAAAATCGCTGTTTCCTTCTTTTCTTTCTTCAAACCTGACAATTGTGTGAAAAGTCGGAGAGGATCAAAGAAAAAAGAGATGTAAATGAGCAAAAAGGTTGAAAAAGACGTTTTTTGTTTTCTCAAATGCCTCGCACCCATTCCCATCATTCCCCCCTTTCTACTCTTTTTAAGTTTTTCCATTTCATAAACACAAATGAAAATACAGAAATGGCTGGTTCATCGGTAAGTTTCTCGTTTTGGCCCTCTTTCCACCTCTCTCTCTCTCTCTCTCTCTCTCTCTCTCTCTCTCTCTATTGCTCTTTTTTTGTTTACATTTCTCA